GCCACGGAGCTGGACTACGGTAAGTGCCACCGTGCTGCTGGCACCGCGCGGGCTGCAGCCCCTTCCCAGCCCCTCTGAGGTGCCGCCGTTCCTCTCGCAGCCATTTACCTGGCCAAGAAGAACATCCGCAAGCAGGGCGACCTGATCGAGCACGAGAAGGTGAGCGGTGGCCTCCCGTGATGAGCTGGGGGGGTCTCGGCTCACCCAGGAGCAGGGGCTCCCCTGCGGTGGGGGCACCGGCACCGCGGGGAGTTGTGGGTGCCCTTGGGGCAACGGGACGCGGAGCCGGGCAAGGGGACAGGTGCCACACCGTGCCCACCCGGGTGACGCTCCCCAGGACAACTACAACCTCCTGCACAAGCGGATCAACCACACGTGGGACTTCGTGGTGATGCAGGCGCGGGAGCAGCTGCGGTGAGTGCGGGCACGGCCGGGCCCGCCGCGCCCGGGGGAGCGGCCGGGACGGAGCCCCCGCGGGTGCGGGGCAGGCGGGGTGCGGGGTGCCAGCGCTCCCCCGCTGCCTCTGCACGGGCAGGGCGGCCAAGCAGCGGCGGAAGGGCGACCGCATCGTCATCGACTGCCAGGAGCAGGCGTTCTGGCTCGTCAACCGGCCCCCGGTGAGCACCGCGGGGGTGCTGTGCTGGCGGGGGCAGCCCTGGGAAGCGCCCTGGCACCACACACAGCCCCAGTCTGGGGAGCGGGGCTGGGGGGCACAGAGGGTTCCCCCAGCCTCCAGCACGACGCTCTCTTTGCAGCCGGGAGCCCCCAATGTGCTGGAGCAGGGCCCCGAGCGCAGGAACTGCCACACCACCCGTGTCCAGCTGGTGAGTGGAGGGGTCCAGACACCCCTGGGGCTGCCAGTGGGCAAAGGGCACAGCCATGTGCCTGTGACAGAGTGCTGAGCTGCCCCAGTGGGTGCCCATCCATCCCACCACAGGCTCTGTCCACATTTTGGGGAGGGAGGGGGGTGGTGAGCCCCAGCTCTGCTAACATCTGTGTGTCCACCCTG